TTAGCTTTTTTTTTAACGACTTACCACTTAAATCTCTCTCACTTGGCCATTTCCTCTCTGAAAGTTTCTGCATCTTACCAGACTTGTTAGCCACTCTTTTAGCCAGATACCTGGGTAAAAGTTGGAGATTCAGATGTATGCTAGTGTCTTCTACAATCTCCAAAACAAAAGGGAATTTTTTAAATGGTTTGCATATATTTGGCTGCTTGTGGGTGGATTTGGCTGCTCCTGGGAGTTCAAACCTGTAGTACTGCTTGTGTCTCTCTAGTCTTCTACTTCCTTGAACCAGTAATTTAAGAACCTGTTGGCCTATTTAGTTGAATTTGATAGAGGGAAGAGTCTCAAAGATAGTTGAGCTTTATAGGTTTGGTGAATAAAAGGTAGCTGAGCACTAGAGGATTCCAATAGCAGTAATAGTTGCTGTGATTTCCTCTTTTACGGCATGAAAGAGTTCATATAGGGGAGAGTAAGTAAGCAGACTTTGGGTTTAATAGTACTAAGTACAGCTCCTTATATTCTGTGGTGTAGAAGAAAGTGAGAGCTCTCTCATGCAGCTGAAGTATTGTGTGGTGACTGTTTGAAACCCTTATTATGCTATTTTAATGTTTGTGTTACAACAGCAACTGAAAATCATGTGGCTGTAGCAGCTGGAATTTTAATCCTTTTAATTATGACAGATTTTCAAAGCATGTTCTGGTGATTTGGTCAGCTGACTGTATAGTATGTACAATAACATCAAGTGATTGCACAAATTCTGAGAGCAGTGGTCACCTCACTGGAACGGGATGTATTTTTAGGTTTCTCTGCTAGTAACAGTCAAGTGTGTGTACTTAAGCATCTCATATGAACTGAAGCTAGTTGCTGACACTACGCTATCAGAAAAGGACAGCTGTTCGTTCTTGCTATAGTCATTGATCTGACACTATCTTCTCACCAAATTGTGGCAAGGAGCACAATGGGGTATAAACACTGTGAAAAATTATTGGTACATGTTTTAATGACAGGATTTTTCTTCAGGTCAGCAATGACACTGTTAGCCCTTTTCAATTTTCTGTATCAGAGTAACTGAAAGCACTTTGTTACCTCCAGCAAGAATTTTCCTTATCTCCCCTTCACTCAGCAGTTTTTTTCCTTTACAAGGCAATGTTTGGGAAGAGTGTGGTTCTAGTTCTCAATGTAATACTAGTGATACATTGGTTCTGGTTCTTCAAAGGACGATGATTCATATGTGGATGCTCTTAATGAATCCAAGAGGTGCTAAGTTCCGTGGTTCACAAGGCTAGCTTACAAAATGGAGTGAATTGTGACCATTTGTTGATTAATGAATGTGCTAATTCTTGAGGTCTTATCCATGATTTCACTAGTTTGATAGGGTCATTTGTTTTTTTTGCCTTTGGACTTTGCAATTTGAATTATATCAAAAGCCTTAACTAGTTTAAGCAGTCCAGGAAACTCATAACTGCCCCAAACAGTTGTTGAGTTTGAAGCCCAGGTATAAAATTAAAAATGCAGAAAAAGGACATTTAACATATCTGAAAGGACTTTGTAGTAAGTTATAAATAAAATGTGCCTAAAATTTGACTAAATTGAAGTTCTGCGGCAGGTGCTGTGAAGTTAAGGTTTATAAGCAGGACACAGAATTTTAGTGAATGTCATGCTGATGGTCTACTGATGTCCAAAGAGATTTTAAATTATATATTTACTTAAGCCAAAGGATTTAAAATTTAAGAGAAATGGCAACTAATGTCAAACTTATTAGTGACCAATAAAATCCTAATTTTTTGGAAACTGAGAGAAAAGGTTACTTCACCTATTTACTTGATAATGTGCATAAATGCTTCTTTATAAAAACAATTGCAAGGATCTGTTACAGAAGTAAATTAGCATCTACCTATTGATAAAACATGGTATTTTACCGTGTTCTCTGGCTTTCGTATACTGTCTGTTAGCGATATATGATGTTTTCACCAGGTTTTGTCCCCTTACACATTTCAAAATTTCATTTGCTTGTATGAAATCATTAAGTTTTGATGAATATTAGCTTATGTGTGAAAGGAATCCAGGAGCCTGAGAAAAGCCAGTATCACCATGCAACTCGGGTTTCACAATCTGACTTGTAAAGACCAAGATAGTGTGCTAGGGAGGAGGATGTTTTACTGTCTCAGTAGAATGTTCTTCTGTGTAAGCTCACATAGGCTATTTAAAGATAGTATTTAATGATGGTTGACTAATTTAGGGTATGTCTACACAAATGGTGCAGGCAGACACGAGCTCAGTTTGACTGCACTCTGAGCCGTCTGCACGCAGGCCAGCTTTGGCCTGGAAGCAACAGAGCAGTGGTGGCATTGCAGTGTGCGCTGGCTAACACACCTGCCCCCTGCTCTAGGAGTGGCTCCCTTCTGGCCATCTTAAAGCAAGCAGGGTGCATAGCTTTTTGCAAAGTAGCTAAACAATACTTTTATTTTTTTTTAGACATAATTGTGGGTAACTGATTACATTAAGCCTTACTGCTACCAGGCTGCTTGTTTTATGGGAGCAGGACTGCGTTTAGATGTATGAAGCAAGGGCTGGGCTCTTGCATTATAAACTAGCAATTGTCTTTTTCAGGTATGTTTCCATTTTGTGTTAAGCACTTTAAAATAGGCTTTTAAGGTGAGAGCTTCCTCTTGATCTCTGGTCACCTGTTAACTTGAGGAAAACTGGAGTTTGGTTTCGGTATTGATGCAAAACTCTGGAATTGGCTTTGGTCTAGCAACAGGTAGGCTGCTGTATTTGGCAGGAATTACTTAGAGCGGGCTTTGTCAGAACAACTAAAAATATCCCAGAGAAGTCAAATAATTTTCTCTTCTTCATTCTTTACTGAACATATTTCAGCTCTTTGCAGTAGATGCTGACTTAATATGCAAGTTGAAAGCAGATTGGGTGCCAGAAAGGTTTGCTAAAATGTTTCGCAAGTCAGTCACTGAGTTCAGTGACTGATATGCTTGACAATTTATTCTAACCTTACTTGTTACTCAGTATATAAATACTAAGGTATGGTGGGGAAAATTCAGCTGTGTTTTGCCTGCTAAGTGTAACACATATGCTTCTTTGTTAGAAGTGTTCAGGAGAGTGGGTGGCTAAAATATTTGAGTTATCCAAATTACGACGGATGGGGGGGTTGAGGACTGATTGCTACTTAAAGTTGGCATGAATTTCAAAGCATTAAAAGAATACAAGTGAATAAAGTGTCACATAGATTTCTATTTAAATGCTTTAAATAAAGTGGAGTGTCTAAAAGGCTGTTTTGTTTCCTCTTACCTTCAATTTGAACAAAAGGCATAATACTAATCCATTTTATTTTTACGGTTTTGAGTCTTTAAGATGTTTTAATGCATTAAAACTGAAGTGTTTAGTCTGAGGACAATGCATGAGAGCACTTCTTAGCTAGTAGAATAAAATAAGGCACCATTTCTATTGCTCTTAAATTCTGTAAGCATTTTATTTTTCAAGAAAATTGCTGGAGGGTGGGGAGTGAGGAAGAGGTGGAACTGAGCAATGTATTTTTGACACAGTATTTTGAGATTTGTCTCCATGCAAGTCATTCTCTGATATATCTGACTATAATCCCTAGTGGTATCACTTCTGAGAGGGAGTTTGTTGGAGCATACGGGAGAGCTTGGTCACTTGCATGGGCCTGCACTCCAGCTAGTGAGCAGTTCCAGAGCCTCTTGAAGTATGGTACAAAGATGATTACTCTCTTCTTTTTATTTTTTTTCTTTTTCTTTTTTCTACCTACCACAACAAAGAATTGAATTTTTTGCTTGTGTCAATTTGTTATACGAGATTATGCAATGAATTTTATTGCTGTTTGACCTTGTTCTGTAAAGTTGTTGTGTTACCCTTACACTTTGAACTGCTGGTATTGTATAATCATGATGGCCATAGGATGCATTAAAAAAAATTACTTTTTGTGGGTTGAACTGGAGGTATAGATAGGACCATGTTGGATAGTAAAGTTTTATGTAGAAGTTTTCAATGAAATGAAAGGGCTTATTTAATGTATAATATAATTGCTACCCTTGTGCAACAACTACTGTAAAAATATGGGAGGAGCTATAGGCTACAGATGAAGAAAACAAGAAGAGTGAAGAGCTTTAAGGGCCTGCTGTCTGTCATTAGCATGGAGGGGGAAGAATGGGACATGACAGAATTGAGATACATGCTGAGTGCTGCAGATTGCCTTAAACAGAACTGCATGAAGAGGGTGTCAGAAGCTTAGATGGTAGCAAGCAGCCCAGGGAATAGGTTGCCTCTGTTTAATTTAGAGAACTGGAAATGAGGAGGAATCTGGCTTCCTTTATTTCTTCTCCCTGCTCTGTAGAGTTGTATGATTTCTGATGTTAGGTAGGGGGCCATAGTCAACGATCATGCTTTGCTTTTCATTGAATCACCTATTTGCAGCGGGCAGGGGAAAAGAACTATTCCAGAGGGAAGGGTTATACAACATTTTTATCTAAGTTGCATATATTATACTTGGTGACTAAATGCATAGACTGTCTTGACCTCTGAAACAAATGTGTATCTTTAATTTTCAGGTGAACTTTTAAACACCATTTCTCTGAGATAAAATGTCACATACTTGTTCTCTTAAAATAGCTACTGATGAGTTCACAGTGTGTTAACATAGGTCTCTCTGTACGCGTAGAGGATGCAAAACCGCAAATAACGGTTAGTAAACATTAGCAATATTGAGTTTATGTTCTTTGTCTCCTTTCTCTTAACTCAGAATTGGATTTACAGTCATGGAGGAACATCAACAACATTCACACTGTGTGAACTGTGTCAGCCGTCGTTGTATGACCAGACCAGAACCTGGCATTTCCTGTGATTTGATTGGCTGCCCATTGGTTTGTGGAGCAGTTTTTCACTCGTGTAAAGCTGAGGAACATCGCATGTTATGTCCGCTTGAAAGAGTGCCTTGTTTGAATAGTGGCTTTGGATGTCCCTTCATAGTAGCTCGAAATAAAATTGCTGATCATCTAGAAGTTTGTCCTGCAAGTGTGGTATGTTGTACCATGGAGTGGAATAGATGGCCAGTCAGTTACGCAGACCGAAAATCCTATGAAAATCTGAGTAAGGATGTTGATGAAGTGGAACAGCTAGATATGGCTTTAGCCCTTCAAGACCAGCGCATGTTATTAGAATCACTTAAAGTAGCAACTATGATGTCAAAAGCACGTGATCGGATACCAGAATCCAGAGAGCAAACCCCTGTCAAATCAAGTGCCCCAGGTGCAGTGCATTCAAAAGGTTTGATGCCTGTAGATGAAGAGTCCTATGGTGCACTTTATCAAGCTACTGTAGAAACAACAAGGAGTTTAGCTGCTGCTCTGGATATCCTGAACACTGCTACAAGGGACATTAATATGTTAAGTTCAAGGCTCTGCATTTCACCACATGAAATGAAAGAAGATACTGACGTTAAAGAACAAGCTTCTAATGGCATTATTCAGGATAAAAAGTCTGACTGTGAATATCCAGATGAAGATAACATAGGAGCAGTTGGGGGAGTGAACTTTGATAGCCCAAGTCAAAATTCAGAAATGGAGCAAAATGGTTCTAGTGATATTTGTTATGATATAGAGCAAAAACATGACTTAAATCGAAACTTTAACTCCTCACTTTTGTGTAATGGCTTTCATGTAGAAAATGAATATTCAAAGGTGTTGGACCAGCATGAAGATCTTTGTGTATCTAATTCAAAACCATCCAGTGTAGCAAATGGTGAATGTACTACATCTCATGATGATGAAGCATTACAGTCTTGCAGCTCCTTCCCTGTAACAGCACAACTTAAAGAAGTAATATCAGCTGATCACTTAGTTAATGGCAATGTTAATCACGTACTATTTCCCCATAATGCTAATGAAGAAGAAATGTTAGAGAGACAAGTGGAGCAAGAAAGACTGAGAAATATAGATGCGTTTTCACTTTTACGGCATCGGTCATACAAATTCCTTGTTAACCACTATTGGTCTACACCAAAAGAAGACAAAGCTGTTGATACATCAGATTTGGAGATAACAGAAGATCCTATGGGTCTTCAGGGGATTGATCTAATCACTGCAGCTCTTTTGTTTTGCCTAGGAGACTCTCCTGGAGGTAGGGGGATATCAGAAAGTCGCACTGTCGATGTGTACCATGTTGACTTTGGGACCCAGACGTTTTCTCTCCCATCTGCTCTATTGGCCACAAATACAATGGTGGGGGAAATAGCTTCAGCTTCTGCATGTGATCATGCCAACCCACAGCTCTCAAATCCGAGTCCATTCCAGACCCTTGGACTGGATTTGGTATTGGAATATGAGGCTAGATACCCAACAAAACAGCGCTCAATGTTTACATTTGTTTGTGGACAGTTGTTTAGGAGGAATGAATTTTCATCGCATTTTAAGAATGTGCATGGTGACATTCATGCTGGCCTTAATGGCTGGATGGAGCAGAGGTGTCCTTTGGCATATTATGGGTGTACATATTCTCAACGAAGGTTTTGTCCTTCAACACAAGGGGCAAAAATCATTCATGACCGCCACTTACGGTCATTTGGAGTTCAGCCTTGTATATCCACAGTATTAGTAGAACCAGCAAAAAGCTGCCTAATTGGACTACACAATGACCATCTCAGTAGTCTGCCTTTTGAGGTTCTGCAGCACATTGCGAGTTTCCTAGATGGTTTTAGTTTATGTCAGCTTTCAAGAGTGTCACGTTTAATGAGAGATGTGTGTGGAAGCTTGCTTCAAGCACGTGGAATGGTGATACTGCTTTGGGAGAAGAGAAAGTATCCAGATGGAAGTTGTTCTTGGCAGATAAAAGAAAAAGTAAGTTTTTTTTTTTATTTTGAAGGTAAAAGTATTAAAATGGTCATGTCTCTGCTTTTTCCCTTAATATTTTCTTTGATCACTATTGTTATTACTGGGTTTTGGTATAATATCCCTTGAAGAAATAGATTGTCATATTGAACAACTATTAGTGAAAATTACCAGCAGGTTGGTTTAGTCTTCTCCACACTTGAAGATGTCCAAGTTAAAGTAGTATCTCTCCAGTTTTTACTTGATGTAAATAAATTAACCTCTGATTTTCCCTAGATTTTTAAATATTAGATGATTATTTCATTGTTTTCTTTAATATTCCATGAAACTAGGAAAGTTGCCTACAAAGTTTGCTTTTTTTGCCTTTATACTGCTTACAGCAATTTTAATTTTTGCTCATCTGTTGAGATCCTGTCTATTGCCATGATACTGAGTGCCTTAAGTATGTAAATAATTCTTAAAACCTTTGGGTGACCTTTGTGTAGTACAATTTTCACCATTTCTCCCCCGCCCTGAACTGCAGAGTATCTTCAGCAACCATTTGGAATTGCAGAAGTTGATCATTTCAGTAATGGGTCATTGTGACTGGTCATGCAGTACTTTGTCATTTAACTTCTGATTGGGCAAAAATTATTGTTGCCTTTCTTCCCAGTGTTCAGAGTTGACTTGGAATCTGATTCAGCATGGGACCGGCTATACAAAATTTAGCATTGTATGGTTTTTGTCATGTTGATTTTTAGTATTATTTGTAGTAGCTGCAAAATATTGCCTGAAAGTATTATAAAAGACAAACATTTGATTTCATGCTCTGAGTTGAGGTATCTTAAAACATTTTGAGCCTAAGTGCACCTTCTTTTCTAGGTCTGGCGCTTCAGTACAGCCTTCTGTACTGTGAATGAGTGGAAGTTTGCTGACATCGTAAGCATGGCTGACCACTTGAAGAAATGTAGCTATAATGCTGTAGAGAGAAGAGAGGAGGCTGTTCCGCTGCCATGTATGTGTGTAACACGAGAACTCACGAAAGAAGGACGTTCACTGCGCTCTGTTTTGAAACCAGTACTTTAAATATTGCAACCACTCCAATTGCACATACACTCAAGCACCTGATATAACCTCGGTAATATTACGTGACACTTTATTAATGTACTAAAGATACTTTCTAGCTAAATCTACTCTGTCACTGTGTATATAAGGTTTGAAGTGACATTTATTTTTTATAATATTGTTTAGCTGGAAAGTAATGAAAGTTGCCTTAACGTTTGAAAAATTCGGAACTTGCTGGACAGGGTAGTTTTATCTAACTTATATAATTTAAGAACAAAATCTTAAGGTGTGTTCTCTGATTTCACTGGTGCCCATGTTGCTGTTGGCTGATAACATTTCAAAAATGGTCTCTAAATGGTATGCACATTTAGATAGAGGAAACACTGAATTGTAGTGAGTCAAAATCCTGACCAAATACACTTTCTGTATTTGGTCTATTTTTTTTTAATAAATTATAATCCAAATATTTGAAAGATAAGGAAGAATTCAAAACTTTATAGTACATGTCTCAAACACAGCTTTTAAGTGCATCTTTTCTCATTAAATTGGTGTTCTAGTGCTGTTCCTAGTTAACAGGTGACCTAGGATCAGCTTTTTTTTAAAAAAAAATTTTTTTTTTAGGAATGATCTCATGAACTCAGATTTACAGCAACATAATTTTTAGTACAACTTTCTTTTGACGTCAGCAATGATTATTTTTCTTCTGAACTATTAACAATTATTTCACTTTTGGGAGCAAAACTTTTAGAGCTAAAACCATGGAATACTAGTTTTTACTCTTGCACCTACAATGACATCGATATAAAATGTTAAAAATGTTTTTCCTTGTCCTGCAGTTGGCTGAGGGTTAATTGCTTGAGCAGTCAGAAATTCAAAGTATGTGATGAACAGTTATGAATTTATAATGCAGCTAATGAAAGGGCTTTACTTGTTTTATGGTATTGTGAGATGTATTTTCTCCTTTTCTGTTAATTTGTTTATAAAAATGCTGCTTTTCTGAGGAGCATTTTAAATTACTGGTATGTGTAGCAAATGTATCATCTTCATAAGATGAGACATGATTTGTTAATTGCATAAGGCATATCAGAAATGTATGTTCAACCACATCTGTTAAATGAACAACTCCAATTTGCTTCCAGTCTTCCATAACAGAAAATCTTACAAAGCATTTGTGAACAGCAAATACGTGCTATGAAAAATGGCCTGGTATAGCAAAACTGTAATAACTTGAACTGACTTTCCAACTTGTTTGTGTTTTAAAGTTGGTGTCTCTTGCCTGTTGCACTTAGCAACTGTGCCACAAAGCTAAAACAGAAACAGACCAGAGCTTGGAACAAAGAAATACAGTACGTATTTCCATTATAGGAAAAAATAAGAGATTACTAAGGAGGAGATGTTTACAAAAATGGCTAAATTTATTACTCGTAATTTCTGTACTGGACACTTGTTTATCACTAGTCTGGCTGCAGTTCACAACTTTGGTATCTGTGCATTTCCCGTTCTGGGTCCAGTCCAGCTGAACATTCACTGCCTTTTTCTATCCAGAGTGCTACAGGTGCCCAGAAAAAAAAGAATAAATCTGTTCTTCAGTGCCATGAGTTGAAATTACAAGAGCTCAAACAGATGTTCTGCCTGAATCTTCATACTATGTGTTCTCTTTCCACATTTTCTCTTTTTTTGTTTGGAGAGAGGAAGGGAGTAAACCCTGTACAGAAGTTAGCAATATTTGCAGTAATTCGTAGCTGATACCACAGTTATGTGGAAAGGAGAATCTAGATTAATGTACAAATCTGACTATACCAGCTGGGTTTTAGGTAGAGATTTTAACATCCCCCACCCCTGGCCCTGTTCTCTGAGTGCATTGAAATGCTTATTACCCACAAATGCTTCAGTACAAGGCAGGAGACAGACTTTGGTCAGTTCTTGTCTTTTAGCTCTAATGGCTCCTTGCTGCTGCTCTCCAGTGTTTAAAAGTAGTAGTGTGGCTGGAAGGATCCTGAATGTTGGGGAGTTTATGGTTGTGTTTATGGCTAAATCTACTTTAAAACCATCTGTCTTGGGTTACTGGTATATTTTTTTTTTATTTTTATTTTTTTTTCAGTCAGCAGTGTGGTGGTTTTGGTACTTGGCGTTCTTTGTAACTACCCAGAACCCTGATGAGTACAGTAGGGCAAGCATGTGTCTCGGTCACTTAGGAAAAGAGGGTATTCAGTTAGAGGAGCTGGCGTTGGTAGAATCTCGCTTGTAGCGCAGTGCAGATCTACATCTAAAGTATCATCAGTTGTTGATCTAGTAAAATGAACCTTTTAAGTACTCGGTGTTCTTCTTAAGAAATAACACTATTTCTCCATACATGCACTTTTGTTTTCAAATGTAGATACAGGCTTTTTTGTTAAATTAGTTTATTTTTTATGAGAATCCAGAGCTATTAAAATATCAATGTTGAAAACAAAATCTCTGCCTTGTAAACTGCTCCAAATGCAGGAATACAATATAGTTAGGATAAAAACTTTTTTTTTTACACTGCTATGCAGTTTCTAAAACATCTATGGTGTATAGTCAGTCTATCAAAATGTGGCTTGTTCACATTTGCCCTGGAATTTTAAAAATGTTGTATCCTGTTCCTGGTACATCTTCCTTACAGCATATATAGACAGCTGTTCGAGTCTTTCTTTTACTTGATGCCACATTGCTACTTTGTTTAAAATATTATGTTTTCAATCATTATGCAATATTTTTTTGCAATGTCTGTTGAAATCCTAATAAAACTTTTGGAGTTTCTCTTTTAGTATGATTGTGCTTTTTTTTAAAGCTTACCACCAGCATTCCGGTGTTCAAACATAGTGCTCAATGTCTGCGTATAGGATTCTAGTAAGTACTCAAACAATCAAGTTACATAAAGGAATCTATTTACAAACATTGAAAGTTTGCATGATTTGGAAGTGATTAATATGTATTCACATTCATTTCATTATGAAGATCAGTCATTCCTTTTTAGACTATACACCCATTTCTATTGCTTTGGTCTATTATGTGGCATAGATTTCCTTCCACAATTTAACTACTTAACATTGAAGACTAATAATGTACCTTGTAGGTTTGTTTAAATTGTTTTTTTCTGAATAATAAATTGGAAAGATTATCTAATCAACATGATACACACTTATGCTACCAATTTGCAAAGTACATTTTCAGTGTGTTGTCTCATGAGTAAAGTTTTCTGTAGGAAGTTGTTGCTTAAGATGGTACAGAAGCAAAAATTTAGGTGATTTTTAGGTAATAGTTGTCGTTCAGACTGTTTGTGGAGTGGCAAAATGTAAACCAAAACCTCATTAAACCAGAAGACTCTGCCCAGAAATTTACCTTTAGGCCTGCCATTCGCTAGTATGTGTATGCTAATAGTCCTTACAAATAAAAATGTACCTATATTACATAAATCTGATAATAAATTAATCTAAACTGTGTCAAGTAATGTGATGTGACTCATGGTTTAATTTCAGCAATTACAAACTTGTGCCTATTTCACTTTTTAGACAGGCCACATTAGCCTTTTGTTTTTCTGTGTCCGTAAGTGGATTAGATATTCTGCTGTGTAAGGAAATATTTTTTGTCTCACTTTAACTTTCTTGATGCTTAAAGTATTCTAGATGATTTGCCTGTTTTTCTGAGAATGCTGCTGCTAAAACTATTTTCATGGGCTCTTCTCTGTTGAATGTACTTTCCTAGAATGAGGTTTCGGTTCAGTGAAGAATTCAATGCTAGCTGTAATAGTAGAAAGCTGATTAAAATTCTTTCAGTCAGAACATCTGTTCAGGCCTCTTTGATCATCTTCAGATGAGCAAAAAGTTGTGGTGGTTTGCTGCACTGAGGAAGAAATAGCATTCAGATAGTGTTTATAAAAGTTACAGCATGTAAAGCAGAGACACTTTGAAGAATGGGATTCTCATAGTGTGACTGTTCAGCATGTGGTGAATATTGTAGCAGTAATCCAAACTGGAGAAGAAAACTGAATGGAGAAGGAGGCTTAAAATAACAAAGGCATCCAGTCCCAGCATAGAGAATCTTCTGAGGGACTGTGTTTGTGAGAGTGCTGGGAATTTCTGACTTGTGCACACCACAACTGTGTTTTACTGATGATTTATCGTTTTTTTTGCCATGATAGCAGGAGTTGCCCTGCTCCTATTTGAGCTCTATAATGTGCTTTAGTTGTAAACTATCTCCAAGTGCTGCCTGTATTCCTGAATCAAATATCAGTTAAGTTGAACACAGTCTTCTCTACTGAATGCAAAGTATGTGTTCGGTGTAGGTTCTACCTGCTGGTGGTGTGAGAGGCAATATTTGGTAAGCAAAGTATGTGTTCGGTGTAGGTTCTACCTGCTGGTGGTGTGAGAGGCAATATTTGGTAAGCAAAGTATGTGTTCGGTGTAGGTTCTACCTGCTGGTGGTGTCAGAGGCAATATTTGGTAAGAATAATGGAAAAATAAGGTCCTTTGGATACAGAGAATTCATGTGCATGGTTTCCATCAGTATTTGCCAGAAAAAGAGAACAAAACTGTGTTAGGGAATGCAAGGAGTAAAATAAGAAGACTGGTAGCATTCACTATAACTTGCTAATGGCCTGGTAGTTAAGAAAACATTATTAATCATCATTAGATGCACTATGAAACGTGACAGCAAAAGTCCACACTTCTGCCATTTTGACAAACCGAGTTCTGCAATGCATGCAGTAGTAGGTATGCAGACTGGTTATAGCCTAAGGTAGCAGGAAAATGTATACAAAATAAGCATGTATGATTTTAACTGCAAAATATAGAAAGAAAAAAAAAGCTAGTTTCATGAGACATAAGGCTAGATTTTTAGAATCAGTCAGAAAAATGTGATTTCTGCCTTGAAGATATTTCAGTGTTCTGGTGTTTAGTTTCATCCTGAACTGCATTGGCATTTATTTATTTTAAATCATAAATTAATGAACTGCAGAAAAATAGTAGTCGGAAAAGTTGCAATGACCTTACAAAATTATT